TGGCCCTTTTACGCAAAAGTCTTTCAGAAAAAGACTTTTGCCCGAATGGGAGCAGCATAGTATTTCCGCAAGAACACTGACGATCTTACATTAGATCGTCAGTGTTCTTGTGGAAATTCAAGCAGCCAGTGTAGACAGCTGGCAAGTTTTTCCGCAAAATCATATGATTTTGCAGAAAAACTTGCCAGTCTAGACACAGCCATAGAGTGCCACCTGATTTACATAGGGGTAGAAGAGAGGAGAACCCAAGAGAACAACTGTGGCTTGGACTGTCCCATGCATTCACCTCAGCCTCCGTTACTCAGAGCTTGATATGATCATTTTTTAATATTTCCCTGCAAGGCATGTGTGGGGAGGGTGCGGAGGGGTAGTGGGTAGAGGGGAATGAAATAACCATCCAGGAACACCAGCCCAATCACCAGTGAAGCACGATAGCAATGCCCCCTGCTGACATTACACCATTATAGGCTGGAGAATAATTAGCCGAGGCAGCTGCTGGAACAAGTTGGATTAAAATGATCCTTGCTAGATTTCAATGGTTCGGATTCCCTTGCTCTTGGTCTCTCTCGCTCCCCCACTACTGGGCCCTCGTGGCTGTAGTTTCACACCCACGCACAATCCTCCTGGGAAAAGGGAGCTCTGTGTACGTGCGTGTGGGGGTAAGTGTGTGGGAGAGGGATACCTTGTGCGAGACCTTGGACTCGTTTTCACACATACCCCCAGGAGGGAGTGAGCCTTAATTAGATTCCTAGGGCCAGAGTCTACATTGACCTACAACTCCTCTCTGAATCCTCACTGACTTCAGGGTAGGTCAACACAGGACATGGCCCACAACTGCCAGTGCTGGCCAAGCCCTGCTAGGTCACCTTCCCTAACTCAGCAGATGCACTCCGGGAGGTCCGGTGTTGTGATTGAACAAGACCCTGTGCTTCTGCCCAGAGACCTACAACCGTGTAACAAAACCTGCGCTATTTCAGCAGTCCAGTAGTCTCCACTGGTGGCTTGGAGGTCTCCCACGCTAGCCAGACCTGGAACTCAGTCTTCCACCTTGCCAGTGCCATGAGCCCTATGACACCACGGCTGCACCTAATGCTTTACAGCACCTGTGGTTTTGCTGGAACCCTACCCTGAGAGGAGAAAAAGAGAGAGAGTGAAAGAATCCAGGAGCGAGCCTCAAAGTTTGGAACCACTCCTGAACATTCCCACCCAAAGGAAATGCACCTGGGAGAGAAGTAGAGAGGGCAGAGGAGGGAAGACCCTTTAAGAGCTAATATGGGTGCACAGCGGTGTTCCCTGTAAGCGTTGTGCTTGTGCAGCCACTCAGGAGAGCTTCAGATGCTGCCCAGCTGATGAGCAGAGCACTCCCAGCTAGGTTTTGTTTTCACTGGTGGTGCACCTTTGCACATGCCTCAGTGCACAAAATTATTCTGCACATGAGTGGGAAAAAATCTGCACATGGATGGAAAAGATTAGAGAGACCATTGGTGCTCAGCGTATCATGCTCAATGCTGTCCGCACAGAGATATTTCTCAATGCAGGTACATTGGCTAGCCCAAGTGACTTACGTCACTGTGGTCCAGGTGGGGGTCTGTCTTCAGCCAGTGCACAAAGGCACTCTTCCAGGCGGTGCTGGAAGGAGAGAGGTGGCTGCTTGTATCAGCAGAGGTCTCTGGTGAAGGAGGAGAAGATATGACAGGCAAGGAAGCAGCCACACCCCGGTATTAGAGCCTCACCCCACACACCTATAATAAGAATCCCAGCCTCGGCCCAGCTGGCACCTCTGTGAAAATAAGGCCCACCGCTGCAGCAGCATGAGCGACACTTTTGCCAGGTGATGGATTACATGGGTGAATGGCGGGATGGATGCATTCGTTAGGTTTTCCGGAGAGGATTATGGAAGGGTGGGAGCGGCTGCTTCTCCCCATCCCCTTGGGAAGAGGAGGGTTGCTGGGGAGGAGGTGCAGTGCAGGGGATGAAGTCTGCTGAAGACTTTTCCTGTGGGAACAATGGTCTCTGCATTTAGAAATGCCATGGACCCTCTTACCCAGATGTACCTTTTCCGGTAGATCCCATACATCTGTTCTCTCTCCCCTGATCCCAAAGGAGCAGTTCTACTCTGAGACACCCCCACCCCATGTGCGCATGGCTCCCCCCCTTTGGGGACATGAAGGTCCCTGCCAGAAATCACAGCTCCCTCTTAGATGAGAGCTCACTGCGGTATTTCTGGTCCTACTTGAGATCCCTTAAACTGCAGGGCAGCTAGTGGTAGGGATGACCTACCCGTCCCTCAGCTTTTCGAGTTAGTTCCATCCCTTTGGAGGTGAAGGACACTTCTTTTCCCACTTCTGTTTCACATCTAGGAATCTCCACCGCCTGCAATGCAGCTCCTCCAGATGTACAGCAGTGTCAGTAATGGGGGCACTTGGCCCACAGACTTGGCTAGGGTCACTCCTGACCAGTGTTCCCTGTAAGCTGTGTGCTTGGGCAGCCACCCAGGAAAGATTCAAATGCCACCTATCTGTTTAGAGAGCACCCACAGCTGGCAGAATGTGTTTTTACTGGTGGTGCACATCTACACATGCCTCAGTGCACATAACAAAATTTATTCTGTACATGAGTGGAAAAAACTATAGGGAGCATTGTTCCTGATGTCCATCAGTACCAGTAAGAGGAGAAGTCCCTCCCAAGAGAGCTCAGAGAGGTTGTTCTCTGTGCTATGTCTGGATCTGCTCTCTCTAATTGAGGGACTTCTAATGTACCCATCTCCCTGGCATCAGAGCTCGGAAGGCAATATCTGTGACTGATGTAGGCTTAGCTAAAGGCTGGGTTGGCTTTAACTTCATGCCATCCTCCCCAGCTCAACCGAGGATCAGTGCCTGCTTTGTTCTGGGTTGGGCAGCAAGCGAAACGTGCATTGGAAATTCCCCCTCTGCGAGGAGACCGGGGAGAGGGACATGGAGATGCAACGGCTCCATGTGGACTCAAGGGCCAGCCCGATGGTCAGGACTTGGCGCTCGCTGACCAGCGCAGTACTGGGGAGGGAACAATGGGGACCTATGAAGAAGCTTGTGCTTCTCGGCAGGACTTTCATTCCCCGCGTCTGCGGAAGGCAGCCGCATCTCCAGTTACCTTTCCTTCAGGAGAGCAAGTTCACAGCTCCTTGGGGTTGGGGGAATGGACAAAGACGAAGCTGGCTCCTGCTCCCAGAGAAACCAAGGGAGCAGGAACAGGTCCCAAATTGCCACCTCTTTCTCTTCCCTGGAGACTTTGCAGATGCCCTGAGAATTCACTAAGAACGCACCCTGCTTCCTGACCTGCCTTGCCACCTATTAAATGCACAGGGTGCACAGTTCTCAGTTTGTGTCCTTAATGGGGGTTATTTTTAAGTCACTACTTACAAGTCTCAATTCAGGGGTTTTTCCCCTCTCTCTCTCATTCCCTTTGTCTTTCTCTCCCTCCTTGTTGCCTCTGCTGTAGCTTCCAGTAGAGAAAAATAATTATTCTTCTCAAAGGGCTAACCCAGGCCATGCACACAGTCTCTTTAGCATGAGCACCCACATCAATGCACAAACCACGGGAGACCTCTTAGCCGTTTTGGACCAGCCCAGCCATCGGAAGTCAATATGCAGGACCACTTAGGTGTAAATGTACAGGCACATACAAAGTAACAGCAGAAACGAAATGACAATGAAATCAAGGTAATTCCTGTTTTAAAGGAATTATTTCCCTCTCCTTGTGCAGAAATCACCACGACCAATCTGATTAATAAATACACTTATAATCTTTCTCTGGGTTTTTCTTTTTTTGTCTTTTAAACTAGGGATTGCCTCATTGTAGGAAATCCAGAGACTCTCACACACAAAGGGTTTCTTTTTTTAGCACTAGTATTTGAACTGTTAAGTTTTCAGATAAAGAACAAGGATTTCTTAGGGACATTTCTTGCAGCAACAATGGTCTCCAGCTATCCCACTAACAATTTTTTTCTTAAAGGGCGTAAGGATGCCCAGCAAAACACACTCATTCACTCACAATTTTAAGCTTTCATCCATCAGTTCACACTCCTAGGGAAAAATATACTTCTGAACTAATCAGAGAGTTTATCTTTCCTCTCTGCCTGCAACCAAGATTGATACAGACTGAAACAGATACAACTTACACCTATTTTAGCTGAACACACATATACATGAACATATGCATTAGTTGTATTTTGCATACAGTACATAGTGTGCATTTATGTGCATACAACACAAACATTCACGCATGCACGATACTTGACTACAACTGATGAAAAACTTATATTGTAGCTGCTCACATATATACACCTGAATATGCATCTCATATACAGTATATAATGTGTCGATAGATATACACACACATGCATGTTCAAACACTTTCCCGCAGATGCTCTTTTGATTCTTGACTAAAACAGAGAAAGAATTTCTATTTAATTTAGCTGACCGCACACATGCATTGGCATTAGAATTTCATAAAACCACATGCCTGGTGCACAGTGCAGTGTATATGAATATGTATTATATATACACACATAGGTAGATATATACACACTCATTGGTACCTGAATAAAACAAAAAAGAACTTTTATTGCAGCAGATAGTGTGTGTGTGTGTACACATCAGTATTTCAAGTAGATACGTAAATTGCATGCACAGTATGTAATATGACTGCATACACACACAGTGCTTGACAAAAACAGATAAAGAACTTAATTTTTTTTAATTGGCGCCGTATACATGCACATGAACATACATATTGCCCATGCAGTAGATAGACACTCCCTTCACCATTCCTCACACGCACACACACACTTCCCCGATGCAAGACTTTTAACAAAGAAAGGAAGAGAAAATGCTGTCTTACTTTCCTTCTTTTTTTTCCCCCTCTCCTTCCTGCAATTTCAGGACTTCAGTGGAACTGGAATGCTTTGGAAGAGATTATGAAAAGCAACCTAACAAACCACTGAGCACTGAACACAGACTTACAGAGGGAATAGCTTTGCCAGCCAAGACGAGAAGGAACAAAAGCCCAGCAATAAGAGCTGGGCTGAATAGGTGTCTTCCTAATTGTAAGGGAATTGTATGGATGTGTATGAGTGTGTGTGCGTGGTAGCGGGGCGGGAGGGAGGTGGGTAGAAGAGGAGATATGAAGAGACCTCCCTCCCACACGGGCTGTGGATGGGAGCCTGCAACCTGAATGTGAGGTTATTGAATAAATTATCCTCCATCTCTTGCTCATTCCTCATTGGGCCAGGGAGCAGGGAACACTTCTGCACCAATGATGTTATGATGAGATCTTTGCATTCTCTGCACAATCTCACACTGTTACCTTCTGCCAGGGCTCCATGCAGATCTGTGCATTCCACCCAGTTAGAAAGCTCAATTAAGACCCTAAATCATTCAAGGGAAAGAAGCAGATAATTCATTTACTTGCTCTCTCTCTCTCTGCCCCCCCATCCTCACTCCCTCTCTCTCACTCACTATAATCCTTCTCTCTTTGTTTTTTGGGTTTTTTCCTTCCCCTTTAAAGCCAG